TGTACTTGTAGGGCCGCACAATTTGGCCAAAAATTTTGTTTTTATATATCAATAAAACTAATAATGATTATGGTTATTATTTCTAAATAAAAACATTAAACAAAATAAGGAATATTACTTTTGTAATAACACAATTTCACTATAATATACAAAACTGAGTATTTAAGAATAAACATAATAATAAATATATCTGCAAGAAAAATAAAAAAAATGTACACTTCTTTACTCTGGAGAAAAACGTAAGGATTTGCAAATGCTTACCTCAAAGTTCGTAATTATTTTTGCAGTTTTTACTCAAATTAGGGTTTTGTGAGCAATAATGACTACTCAATTAATGTAATTTCTTTTTCATTCATACTCGTCGCCGGAGGGCACCCTCGCGCAGAAACTCCACAAGTGAGACTCACTGATGACGTTCCAGGAAATTCAGCTTTCGCTGTAGATGTAGCCTAGTAGCTGAATAACATGCAGATAGACGTTTTACTGATGAAACATGAAGAAAATAAACAATGACTGCGACAACATATGGTTTTATCTGTGCTCTTCAAGCCATCTCGGGTATTTTTATAAGAATAAAGTTTAAAATGCAATGCTAATCGATATAGCCTTTATCACTGTATAGAATGATATAAATTGGCCGGATTTCTGCCTCATTATTTTTAATGAAACCATGTCAGGTTACAATAATAAGTTATTTCAAAGACTCGACTGATGTTGTGAAGTGAATTTGGACTAAAACATATCATACTTTTGTTTACTAGTACCATGAAAATAGATACTAGTACGGCTTATAGATTAAATTTTACAACGGCTTTCCATAACATGTGTTTCTGTGAACTCACAGGTGTTTCTAAGAAGTTGAGGACACTTACAGTATGGCAAAGATAGTTTGTTTATTGGTGATATTGACTTAAGGACAGCTGCACAAACAGCTATATAAAAACGTTTCTATAGGTGAAAGAGTGTTTATTGCTAAACTGTGTATTATGAAATTTATACTGGAACTTACAGTAGCATGGAGCATTTGTCACAAATAGGCCTACTGATTAATCAAAATAGCGAGAACGTCTGCATTTACTGCTATTTTTAACACATTAAAATACATATAATACAATTTTGTGTTTTTCTTACAATTATTGTTTTTATTTTCAAGTTTACAGGTTGTATCTCCCAGGAACATTTACCTCAAGATCAGCAGCCTGGTCACAGCATGGTGCCATGTTACTTTTGGATAAAGATGGTGAATTGACCTTTTTTACCAAGTCACACGAGTTATTACAGGGGCCCCCTTTTCAATATTCTTGGAAAATAGGCCACTCACTCACTGTCCTTTCTGTACAATGTCTGTAATCTCCTGGATACATTAGCAATTTAAAGGTTAAATAAGAAAATAAAGGGAGAAAAAGAAAAACAATTACATAATAAATAGTTAAAACTGCATTAGTAATTTTGCATTAGCAACTGAACATTAGGCCGAGTGTTCTTTTTAATATTTATGTAAAGTTAATTAATTAATTAAGTAAATTTTGTTATAGAATCCAGTGGAACAATACAGAGTATAAAACAATTACAATCTTCCCACCCCAACACATACAATAAATGAAAAATAAAATAATAATAATTAAAGAAAAAAATAAAAATAATATATATATATATATATACACACACACACTATATATATATATATAGAGAGAGAGAGAGAGAGAGAGAGAAAGAAAGTTTGTAATATGGTCTTAATATAGTTAATATTTTGTTAGGAGGGTGAAGGTGACTATTAAAAGGACAATGTACACATTGAGAATTATATTAAGAAGATGGAACCCTTTCACATGTTAAGTTATTTGCATTCTTCTTTTTACAATTTTCTAAACAGGCACAGCTTTCTATGGAATGTTAAATTGGGCCAGGATAATTATTGAATAAAAGTTATCTTGCTTTTCTTATTTACTTTTTATGTTTTTATGTACCTACGTATTTATTTAGAATAAAATTGTTCAAACATTATTTGATATTTGGTGTACCAATAAGATTACAAACACTTTGCTTCCACCTATAGGCAGACATAAGCATTGCAGGCTCTCACTGCTCAGAAATGCCATTACAAGCAGCATACAGAAAAGAGATTGAAATAATTACCTTTATCTCTAAACTGAAGGCGCTTATACTTTAGTCAATTTAGATCTGTATGAACATCTAAAAATCTATTTTAATGAAATTTCTACAATTGCAGTGGTCCCACTTGAGGGCTGGTGTATCTGGTCCCCAAACAGCTTAAAGCTTCTCTAATGAAAAATAAAAGCTTTTCTCATTAATTTATGAATTCTGAGTTGCCCATAAGGCACAGTGAGATTGCATGACTTCTCTGATATTTCATGTATCATTTCCCTTTCACAGGTCTGCGGTTGGGAGGCAGCACACGAATGTCCCCCAAAAACTGCAACAAATCACCTCCTCCCTAGTCCACCCTCCACGTGTACGCGGTCATACACGCCTCCCAGGCAAATGTGCTCTGATTTTAGTCGTGCACCTCCTCCTCATCACCACATTGTCCTTAAAAAATGGACCCGGAGCAGTTCACAAGCTGAGCTCCAGCATGCACAAGCTTACCTGCTGCTCATACAAATAGGACACAGTGTGTTTTGACATTTATTCCTTAAAACTAACTAGTGTCTGTTGTTATGTTAGTAGTTATTTTTTAACTACTATAAGGTAAGTAGTATCTTTTTTATTTCATTAGATACTAGTATGTTTGTATTACATATTAGTCACTATTTATGGAAGCTTATTTTTGCCACAGAATAAATTTTTTTTAAAAAGATTGCGACTTTTTATCTCTTATTTCAGACTTTTTTTTTCATAATTCAGAGTTTACATCTGACAAATGTGACTCCCCCCCCCCTTTTTTTTTTACTAAAAAAAGTAATAGTTAGCCTACTTTTTATCTAACAATTCTGACTTTTTTCCTGCAATTCTGGGTTTATATCTCAGAATTCTGACGTGTTTTGTCTCAGAATATAAGCTCACAATTGCAATAAGAAAGTCATAAAAAAAGGAGAAAAAATGTGCAGTTATCTTTTTAAAATTTATTTATTTTATTTTTTTTATTCTTTGGTGGAAATAAGCTTCCTTATTTCTGAAAAAAAATTCTGAAGTGCAAATTAATATCTCACAGTTCAAATGTTTTTGCACAATTGCGAGTTCATATCTCACAATTCTTTTTTTTTTCTCAGAATCGCAAAGAAAAGGCAGAACTTTGAGATCTAAACTCACAATTCCAGGAAAAAAAGTCAAAATTTTGCAATTACCTTTTTGATTTTTTAATGTGGCATGCAGAAATAAGCCTCCTTATTTTCCCCTTTCTCTCAGAATTGCGAGTTAATATCTCACAATTTGGACTTTTTGTCTTAAATTGCGTGTTTAAACCTTGCAATTTTGACTGTTTTTCCTCAGAATTGTTTTATTTTTTTCCCTCAGAGTAACTCACATTTCGGAGGAAAAAAATTCAGAATTGTCAGCTATAAACTCACAATTGCAGGAAAAAGTCGAAATTGTGTGATAAAAAGTTGCAATTACTTTTTTCATTTTTGTTAATTATGTGGTGGAAATAAGCTTCCATAATTCCTGTAGTGTAAAGCAACTGATGAATTCAATGGAGCCCTTTGGTTTAAATATTAACTTTCAATTCAGATTTATGCATGGTTCTGTTTCAGTTCTAGTAGTATTTATTTTTTAATAATAACTATTTCACTTTCGCGCCTAATAACTTCGAATATGATGCGAATATCGGGGAGTTTTTCTTCGATCGTCACCCCGGCGTTTTCGCCCACATTCTTAACTATTACCGCACGGGCAAGCTGCATTGCCCGGCGGACGTGTGCGGGCCTTTGTATGAGGAGGAGCTGGCGTTTTGGGGGATCGACGAGACGGACGTGGAACCGTGTTGTTGGATGACCTACCGGCAGCATCGAGAGGCGGAGGAGGCTTTGGACAGTTTCGCCGGGGGTGCTCTTGAACTCGGGCATGAAGACCCGGAGCCTGATGGGGTGGCTGAGGCGGCCGAGGGGGATGAGGGTGTTGAGATGACCCGGAGACTGGCGCAAGGCGACTCGCCCGATAACAGGTCCGGGCGCTGGAGCAGATGGCAGAAGAAGACGTGGGCGCTCTTTGAGGACCCGTATTCCTCAAAATACGCACGTGTGAGTTCATTGAGAAATACTATTAGGCTATGTGTTTTCGGAAAAAGCTATGGTTTGTTGGATTTCCAGCGTGAATAGTGCACCAACCCCCTTTAAAACCAGTTTACAGACCAGCAAAACAGCTTAGGCATAATACCGTGTCAGACCAATTGAGGGTCAAGGTGAGTTCATTGAGAAATGCTGTTATCTGTTTTTTTTTTTAAAAAGCTATGGTTTGCTGGACATCCAGCGTGAAAAGTACCCCAACCCTCTTTAAAACCAGCTCACAGACCAGCAAACCAGCTTAGGCATAGTCCAATGCAGTTTGCAATATGGTCAAATGATCCTAATGAGCCCATCGGTGACTCTTGATTTTGATTGATCATTTGAGAAATCAGTGATAAATACAACCATGCCAACCGGGTCATTCCACAAAACTGTGTGTTTTCCATTTTGAAGAGATGATTTTTGTTGGGAAAAAAAAGTACAATTAAGTAAATTTTTGTAAGATTTTAAACATTATGCCAAAGAAAAACGACTAAGTGAAGCTAAATGTTTAAAACTTTCAAAACTAAACTTTATATAGTTGAATATAACAATGCCTGTTGACAATTTAGTTTATAATTCATTTAGCAATTACTAGCAATTTCTAAAAATAGAATTTAATGATTTTACACACACACACACACACATACATACACACACAAATTTGAAAATATTTACATAGAATAAGTACAAAATACTATATATGTAATATAAACTGTATTTAAAAAATATATTATTATATGTATATTTTAAAAATGTAAAATATTTAAGTAAATAAATAAATTCATATGTTTATTTATTTATTGGAATAGGATAAAAACAAATCCGCATAGAGAAATTAAAAGGAAAATAAATAAAATAATAAAATAATTTTAAATATATATATTTTTTTTGTGGAAAGAAAAAATAACTATTATAAGTCATCGTTTACTCACATAATTTTGAATTTATTATTATTATTATTATTTTTATTTTTTTTGGTGTAATGACCCAATCGTAGACTTGGAGAGATACAGAGAGTCTGGGTGACCACATCTCTGAGCACATCCCACAACTCTGGGTGACCTTGAAATAATACCCACCTTCTCTTTAGTGAGATAAAAGAAGGCATGAGATGGAGGCATAAATTATGTCATGCACGCTCATGATGTTATGGTATAAAATAACTCCATTTGTTTGCGAGTCTTTTCCACAGTGCACATTCGTTTTGTTGTCTCCTCTGCCTGATGATCAAGCAACTGTGATTTGCTGACTGACTAGGGGCTGGAAATAAAGACTGCTCACATCCTTGCTTGTCCATACAGTTCATGTTTTGTTCAGGAGCACGCTGCCACTAAATGCAGCTTGCCTGTTTTGATGTGTGACAAGTAGCCACCTCACCCCTAGAGACAAGCTCATACACACAACCTCAAGGCACGCAAACACTAAAGATGCACTTGCATAAAGTATTTAAGGGCACTTGTGCTGTAAAAGACACACTCCCCTTGAGATTTTATGGGCATTTCATTAGCTCATTTCAAATGTCAGCTCTTTGCCCTCACCGCTGTCCCATCATTGCTCTCAGCAGGAACCCTATAAGCTCTTAATCGGAGATGAATGCCATCCCAGCATTTCCATGAGTTTTGGCAGCCAGGTTAAAACAGGTCAGCTCTACTGACTCTAGCCCACCGCTTTGGCACTGACAGAGCAGGAGAGGGATGTCCTCCAAAATCTAAGCGAGCAGATTGCAGAAAAAAACTTAGATATACAATGGTGTCCAAAAGTTAGGATTTTAAATGTTTTTGAAGAAATCTCTTATGCTAACCAAGACTGCACTTGTTTGATCAAAATATACAGTAATATTGTGAAATATTATTACAATTTCAAACAACAGTTTTCTATTTGAATATATTTTAAAATGTAATTTATTCTTGTGATGGAAAACTTAATTTTCAGCATCATTACTCCAGTCTTCAGTGTCACATGATCCTTCAGAAATCATTCTAATATGCTGATTTGCTGCTTGATTGTTATTGGTACTCATTTATTAATAATGGTTCTTATTATTATCAATGAAAACAGTTTTTGCTGCTTAATATTTTTGTGGAACCCACGTTTTTTCAGGATTATTTGATGAATAGAAAATTAATTGAACTGCATTTATTTGAAATGGACATTTCTGATTTATTCCATCCTTCCTGAATAAAAGTAAAAGTATTTTTTTCAGTATTAATTTTTCAATTATTACTTTCTTTTCTTTTAAAATCATACCTACCCCATAATTTTTGAATTGTTGTGTATCACACTTTCCATAAAAATTAAGCTGCAAAAACTGTTTTCAGCATTGATAAAAATAATAAATGTGTCTTGAGCATTTGAAGACTGAAGGCTGATGAAAATTCAGCTTGCTATCACATGAATAAATGACATTTTTAATATATATTCAAATAGAAAACAGTTATTTTAAAATGCAATAATGTGTCACAATATTACTGTTTTTACTGTGTTTTTAAAAAATAAATACAGCCTTGGTGAGCCTAAGAGAGGTCTTTCAAAAAGAAAAAGTAAAATGTATTTCAAACTTTGGGCCACTAATGTAGAAAGAGTTTCAGGTTGGTTTTGAATGCAGATGCCGCGTCTAAACAAGTAAAAGTGTAGGTGAGTCTGGTTTTCTAGCAGGAAATGTATTATTCATTTGGCTATGGGCTGCTCTGCCAGGAGCCAGGCTGTCCGACACTGTCTGCCGTAGCTGAGAACTGCTGGAGATGAGGAAAAGTGGCCCGGCTCCTGGCAGCACCACAAAGAAACATGAGCCAGGCTGCCTGATAGCAAATCAAGCAGTAATGGGTTGATGAAGTCCACTTATGGACATAGACCGCAGCCAGGATTTGTGACTTAGATAATCTGCATGATTCATTTTTTTTTTCTTTTGCATAGTCTTGAGTAATCGCTGATGCGTGATGGGAAAGTTGGGTTTCTGCATCAAATATGCAGTTCTGTCAACGGTGCTGGGTTATTTTTACCACGTTTTATAAATGCAGCACCTCTCTGCTTCTCAAGTGGAGGCGGTTGGAAAAAATACGCCATTTTCAGATGAATGAACTGGAATGTTGAAGTCATGGCTAGACTCCATGTGCAGAGGTGGTACGGTCAACCTTGTAAACTGCACTCAGTGCACTGTACTGTATGTGTCGTTTCTTCACTAGATTTTCTGAGTCAAGTCAATTCAGTTGTTTTGAGTTATTTTTAGGTCGCCTCCATCAGGAAGAATATCTTAATTACATTAGAACTTGACAACTCAGTTGCCTGCTGTGATCACAGATGACATCTTTCTTTATCTTTATCTAAACTAAAAGCTCAAAAGCATGGGAGGGAATGCATTTTGTACAGATAAGAAAAAGGTTTAGGCTTCTTATAGTAAGAAACTGAAAATCAAGGGCAAGAATGCTTGAGGTTTTGTCAATTTTTTTAAATAAAACAAATGCATATTTTTCTGAATATTGTAGAAACTGTTATAACGTGGTTAACTCTTCTTTTGGATATTGGAATACGTTTAGTAATTTTGTCTTTTCCTATGTTTCCTATTGTTTCTATGCACTAAAACAGATTGATAGATGCTGCATGAGCTAAATGTTGCAAACTTGGCATTGATCCTTTTTCAAAATGATGACGCTACAGTACTGTACAGGCAGGATCACTATACAGGATCAGGTGAAAGGGTGATTTTGTCTTAGCAGGAAATAGGATCATTTTGAGTGGGGTGTCCTGTTGTTTTGTGATGTTTGCTAGCTTGTACTTTGCATTACAAACAACAGATGCCACTCTGTGGTTGATAATGTGTCCTGTCGTTCTCCTACAGTAATGCCTGTGAGGGTGTGAATGTTACAAAACCGGTCAAGAACATGTCCAGGTCATATTTAACCCCAAAATCAAAAATGAGAAATAAGAAATTATATTTTTTAACACAATTAAGTCTACCATTAAGCCTTAACCATTACATTATTATTATTATTATTATTATGATTAATTTACATTACACATTCTCTTTTACATTAACATTAACAGTTAAGATTAAACCACATGCAGATACAACATATACACATTCATATTCATGTAATGCAGTTCTTAAAATTACATATAATTAATTACATAAAATTAATTATATTAAATATGTGGATTAAATAGTAAAGCATTTATACATTGTGTCTGTGTGTAATTTTCTTTAAGAATTTATTATTTTATTTAGATAAATATTTAATTTATTTATTTATTGGTGTAAAATGTGGCCTGGACATATTTTTCTGAGATTTAAGGAAAAACAAACCAGAATTAAGACAGAATATCTTTTCTTTTTAGGGGAACCATGAGCTAAATTTTTGTCTTATTGTCTGTTATGCCATCACAAGCAGATGCCCCTCATTTTGCCATAAATGGGTCAGGCTTAGTCTAAAACCCTGTTCAGAACCAGGAAAATAAATGCCAACCGCACTGTGCCATAAATATGAGCAAACAGGAAGTGAACAGACGAGGCCTATCGGTTCAGACTCTGTCTGCGTGCGTGTAGACTTGACCAGACTCGTCCTCACAGTAATTATCAAGCTGCACGTCATTCATTAGTCTGCCCGGTTGGGGAGTGTGTGAGTGTGTTTAATGAGAACATCTCATCTCTCAGCTGCATCAGCATCACAGCAACACATCGGTTCATACACAAACACACACTTGCATGCAGAATGAATCAGCGCCGGGCCGCCCACCAACTAATAGAGATACCAGCACTTTAAGTGAGTTTCAACATTCCCAGCACTGCAGCTTTCACGTTTTTTCAAGGGCTGAAAAATGAAAATGGGCTCTTTAACTCAGATTAAATGGCTGCAAATGATGACGCTTTAGATTGACCGTCAGTATGTCTGCTATCAACGTCTCTATGGGTGTGATAAAGCCCTAGATTCACTGAATTATAGAGTGCCAGAAAGTTTCTCAAGACTCTAGGAAACTGCAAGAGATCATGGCTGGTTAGCATGGTTGCGTTAGCCCCTGCTAATGCCGTAACTACACCATCTGGACCCAAAAAAGCATTTTCTCCATTGACAACCATTCAAGATAAAATGCATATTCTGACAGATTAAGTTTTTTTTTTTTCAGAGCAACATACAATATAACTTGCAAATATTTCATGATATTATAGTGGATGTTTGTATGCAGAGATAAGACAAAAAGTGAATTGTCACTTCAAGTCATCAGTGTGTGATGGGAGGGCAGATGGGGAGAAACGGATCATGTTGTGTCCCCTGCGATCAAGAGGATCAAGCTGTTCTTGTGTTTATCTTGATCAATGGGAGAGTAAGGATAAAATGTTCTCATGGATCAAATTTTTGCCCTCTGGGATTTGCAAGGTCGTGAGAATGTGCTTTCGCCTCAGTCTGAGGAGAGCAAAAGTGATTCAGCAGTTAAATGTTTTTACAAATATTTGAGGTGATATATGTAGCATTTGTTATTTTGAATGAATTACACATAATGAATAGGCCGCTGGCGTCTGTGAGGGAGAAAAAAAGCAGTGGTGATGATGTAATCCATGTCTTACCTTGATGAATTATTAACTGCTTTTTTACCGCCCCAGTCCGTTCACGGACCGCCCAATGCACATTTGATACAAAATTGGAAAGCATTTGTGAAAACTGAAAGTTCCAGGTACAATGGCACGCATTTATAAAAAGATAACTATTCACTCTTGAGCAAATAAAGGCATTGTTTGCGGAGACATGTTTGTGAAACACAAAAATGATCCTCTTTGTTGATAATCTGTAGAACAAATGCTAGCATAGTAGTATTGTTTATCCTTTTATTTTTGGTTGTAACAAGACGTCTTCGTTGGGAAGTGTAGTATTGCCATGTTAATTATTTCCTTATGCTGTACGTCATCTTCCGAGGATCATTAGGTTATCAAGTCGTCTTTGAATGAATCGGAGCATAATTACTCTGGAGCTGTAGGAAATTATGTCAACACAACGAGCTGTGATGTGAAACTGAAAAGTTTGTCTATTTTACACTTTTAAGAGCCTTCCAAAAACAAATCGGGCACTGTTAACAACATCTACAAGAGGAAATTCAAATATTTGCAATTTAAATCTCTCTTGCATCAAAATACATGGATTCTTTTGAACTTTCAGATGCTTTTTGCTGCCAAATAGAGTTCCTTGATTTCCATAACTTAACAGCTTTTTCTACAGGTCATAGTGATCTTAATAAGTGGCGAAAAGCCATTATTTATGTGCGTTTTTGTATGTGCTCGTAGGCCTCTTCAGACAAAACGTTTCTCCTCCCTACAAACACAGGAAATGAGGCACATCTAGGGAATAGTGTCTGTTAGACTAAGCACTGGCTGACCCAGATATAAACCGCCTGTGGAAGAAGAATTTATGTGATAGAAGGAACTGAAGAACTGAGAGGTGTTGCTAGCCATCAGAACCAGAGGCAGATCAGGGCAGAGAAGGTGTATTAATGCTTTGAAACCTCATGAAAACATGGTATATGAACAAAAAACATTGTTATTTGATACTAGCTTACATATTGTAAATGCGATCCCACTTTATATTAAGTTGCCTTAACTACTATGTACTTACATCAAAAAATAAGTACAATGTCCTTATTGTGTTCATATTGTATTGCAAAACACTTTTGCTGCTATTGAGGTGGGATACGGGTAAGGTTAGGGACAGGTTTGGTGGTATGGGTAGGTTTAAGGGTGGGTTAAGGTGTAAGGGATGTGCGTGTAGACTTGACCAGACTCGTCCTCACAGTAATTATCAAGCTGCACGTCATTCATTAGTCTGCCCGGTTGGGGAGTGTGTGAGTGTGTTTAATGAGAACATCTCATCTCTCAGCTGCATCAGCATCACAGCAACACATCGGTTCATACACAAACACACACTTGCATGCAGAATGAATCAGCGCCGGGCCGCCCACCAACTAATAGAGATACCAGCACTTTAAGTGAGTTTCAACATTCCCAGCACTGCAGCTTTCACGTTTTTTCAAGGGCTGAAAAATGAAAATGGGCTCTTTAACTCAGATTAAATGGCTGCAAATGATGACGCTTTAGATTGACCGTCAGTATGTCTGCTATCAACGTCTCTATGGGTGTGATAAAGCCCTAGATTCACTGAATTATAGAGTGCCAGAAAGTTTCTCAAGACTCTAGGAAACTGCAAGAGATCATGGCTGGTTAGCATGGTTGCGTTAGCCCCTGCTAATGCCGTAACTACACCATCTGGACCCAAAAAAGCATTTTCTCCATTGACAACCATTCAAGATAAAATGCATATTCTGACAGATTAAGTTTTTGTTTTTTTCAGAGCAACATACAATATAACTTGCAAATATTTCATGATATTATAGTGGATGTTTGTATGGAGAGATAAGACAAAAAGTGAATTGTCACTTCAAGTCATCAGTGTGTGATGGGAGGGCAGATGGGGAGAAACGGAGTTTTTTTCAGAGCAACATACAATATAACTTGCAAATATTTCATGATATTATAGTGGATGTTTGTATGCAGAGATAAGACAAAAAGTGAATTGTCACTTCAAGTCATCAGTGTGTGATGGGAGGGCAGATGGGGAGAAACGGATCATGTTGTGTCCCCTGCGATCAAGAGGATCAAGCTGTTCTTGTGTTTATCTTGATCAATGGGAGAGTAAGGATAAAATGTTCTCATGGATCAAATTTTTGCCCTCTGGGATTTGCAAGGTCGTGAGAATGTGCTTTCGCCTCAGTCTGAGGAGAGCAAAAGTGATGCATATAGTTATATGAATGAAAATCATTTGTAATTGTTTATGGTTCAGTAACGATACAATGAAATTGGGTCATGAGTTGGCGGAGTGAGTTGTTTGTAATCGTTTGAATGAATCGTTTACAAAAGTGCTAATTCTGGAATGGTAGATTTTTATAATTGAAAATAGGTCAAGAACTGTAGTTTTGTTTAGAAATGAGCATATTTGGTAGTGCTGTTTGCCAAGGCATTGTTTAGTGATTTGAACAAGTTCCAAGCATTAAACTTTGGCTTGCGACTCGAGAATGATACATCATGTGGACTGTTACGAAGAGGGGTGCTATTACTCTTCTAAGTGATCTGACTCACAATTTTTGCCTGGTGGAAGATAAAATGGGTGAGAAAATCCCATACATTTACATTAAAGGAAGCAACCAACACTTGGTAAGCAGCCACCCAGAAAACCCTAGTATTGTAGTGGCGACTTCTAATCAGGCAAGCACGAATCAACCAACACATTTTATTTAGAAAATGGAAAAATTTGATAGTGATTATTAAATTCCAAGAATGCATTGCATTTTAATTTTTTCCATGTTGAATGCATTTTCCCACCCCTATTATATATGTGCTGATGGATGATTTGTCATTGAGATTCACAGCCTTAACTTAATATTTTATTTCAGCAGAATAATCAATTCATACATAATGGATGGAACTTTTCTCAGATCGCCAGAAGATCCCATGGTAGGGAAAATATGGCCAACTTGCACTTATGTAATTCCACCACTAGCCAGTATTCCGTCATCCTGTGGTGGGGCTCCCCTACTGAAATCCAGTTCCATCTGTCTATGCTTGTCGTTCTATCTTACAATAAGCTGTAGTGTAAGTGGTGCAAGCCTTCCCCATCTTCTTTCAAAACACTTGAGGGACCATCTCACCAAATCTGCATGTGGTAACCTTGCCAGAGGCTGACCAGTAGTCCCTGGTGAAGGGAACTATGGTTAAATTTATCCCAAAGTGGTGGAGGCAGGGCCGTCCTTAGCTGACGCGGGGCCCGGTGCAAGGTAGGGAGCGGGGCCCCCATCGGTCCGTTCGCGATCGCGTTCCAGGGGGAGGGGGGTCCCCCTCGGTCCGTTCGCCGCGGGGCCCCCTCAAAGCGCGGGGCCCGGTGTGACCGCACCAGTTGCACCGCCCAAAGGACGGCCCTGGGTGGAGGGCAGTTATATTGGTGTCTTACTCACATTCTATGCTGTCCTTGAGAGCACAAAGTGACCTTGAGTTTCAGCAGCTACTGTACTTCTGTTAAGTCCCCAGTTTGTTGACGTGGCACTTTTCAGAAGCACGTTGAGAAACTGAAGACGTGACATTGTCCAAGTGTACTTCCTCTGAATTCTGCTGAAATGGGCGTTTATGAGCAATTATAAGTGTTTTCATTGTAATTGGGATTTTTTTTTTTTCTGCTCTGAAATTGGGAAAACCTATGTATAGCTGAACTGTGTGTTACAGCTGTTTTGTAAGGAATTCAAAGAACAAGCATTAAAGGAATTCTGTCCTTCTGTCATGTTGTTCCTGTACAACCTTTTTTTTCATTGGTGAAACACAAAAGCAGGATTTTGAAGAATTGTACTGATCGCTCTTTGCTTGTGGCAGTTACAATGAATAGGGAATGTAAGATTTAAAAACACCATAAAAGTACTGTAGTATCAAGTCTTCTGAAGTCATACGAAAGCTATCAGTATAGACCAGTGGTATCCTCCAAAATTTTCCCTGTTGTGTTCCACAGAAGAAAGAACGTTATACAAGTTTGGAAGACATTAGGGTGAATACATATAGAAAGAATTATAATTTTTGGATGACTATTTCATTAAGGTCGTACATAACGTCTCTCTCTCTTTTTTCCCACAGTGGGTAGCATTTGCATCTTTGTTCTTCATTTTGGTGTCCATTACCACATTCTGTTTGGAGACTCATGAGGCCTTCAATCCCATCATCAACCGCACAGAGACTTACATGGTGGGCAATGAAACACGGGAGCGTGTTTTTTCTGAGACGGAGACCATGGTGCAGTTAACCTACGTTGAGGGTGTCTGCGTTGTGTGGTTCACTTTCGAGTTTCTGATCCGAGTGACTACCTGTCCAAACAAATTAAAATTTGTCAGAAATACACTCAACATCATCGACTTTGTGGCCATCCTCCCCTTCTACCTGGAGGTAGGGCTGAGTGGACTCTCATCCAAAGCAGCAAAAGATGTGTTGGGTTTCCTCCGTGTGGTGCGATTCGTTCGAATTCTCCGTATCTTCAAGCTAACGCGACACTTTGTGGGTTTGCGGGTACTAGGGCACACGCTCCGTGCCAGTACTAATGAATTTATCCTCCTCATCATTTTCCTTGCACTCGGAGTCTTAATCTTTGCCACTATGATCTACTATGCCGAACGTTTTGGAAGAAACCTCAACGATCCTGACGCCAGTAGCGGCACACACTTCAAGAACATCCCCATTGGCTTCTGGTGGGCTGTGGTAACTATGACAACCCTCGGCTATGGCGATATGTACCCTCAGACAACGTCTGGCATGCTGGTGGGTGCACTGTGCGCACTGGCAGGTGTGCTGACGATTGCCATGCCTGTACCTGTAATCGTGAACAACTTCGGCATGTACTACTCCCTAGCCATGGCGAAACAAAAACTACCAAAGAAAAAAAATAAGCATATCCCACGAGCACCTCAGCTAGGGTCTCCCAACTACTGCAAGTCAGCTATTAACTCCCCACGACCCAGCACGCACAGTGACACATGCCCCCTGGCACAGGAAGAGGTTTCCGAGATCAGATACCAAGGTAAGAGCTAATAATTTAGAATCTGTAAATTTCCGTCAATGTGATTGAAATGTTAACCTTAAAGGAGTCATATCTTAAAATTGTTTTCTCAGAGGTTCACTCATTTGGTCTTATCCTCTTTCTGACCGTAGAAGTAAACAGCTCATTTTTTTGCTTCTATACCTTTAAGACTTACAAACAATCTCTTTAGCAGTCAGTTTACCGCACACTGATGAGTAATATTTCTAATAGTGTTTCAATAGATTGACTTTTTGGACAAGGGGACAGAGTCTTTCAGTTCTAAAACTACAGTATATTCACATAAACAACCTTTATTTGAAAAGATCATGAGATTTGTCATGATTTGACTCTTTTAATGTTACTCATTAATCTGTTAGCTTAGCATGTTGATCTGCTGAGCTCTGGATGTTTATCTAGAATCAACTGAACTTGAGTTGGCTGCATCTGAATAATGAATCTACTGGTAGGTTTGATTTTACACAAGAAACTTAAAAAGTGCTAATAGTTTCAGTAATAGAGAAATCTTTCCATTTATCTCAGTGGTTTTGCACTCATGGAAGCTTACTACTACTCTAAGCTTTCACAGGCATCTAAATTACAGATAGTCCAATCTAACAATTAAGGGTAACTACACACTAGAGTTTATGCTATGTCAGAGAATGCTGAGAATCTATTGATTTAAAAGGGCATGGTATGTTTTAAGGATGTTGGGGGGAATGGGGTTGTAAAACTGACGTCAAATTGTGTGACCAAAAGTTGAAAAAATTTGGACAAAAATTTGGGAAAAAATGGATTTTCAAAATTTCAGAGAGTCCACTTGTCTAGTTCAACCTTCCAAATTGTTGTGTTTGCACGAATGGGGTTGTAAAACTGACGTCAAATTGTGTGACCAAAAGTTGAAAAAATTTGGATAAAAATTTGGGAAAAAATGGATTTTCAAAATTTCAGAGAGTCCACTTGTCTAGTTCAACCTTCCAAATTGTTGTGTTTGCACTTGGGAAACAGCCTAATGCAGAAATGCAATATAATTTACAATATAAGTTGAATTTCCTACATGTAAGCTAGGGTTATTTATTCCTGCTCCTGGAGACCCAGTGTTTTACAGAGTTCAGGTCCAACCCATCCTTCAGCAAACCTGCCATTAATGTTTAAGTAATCAAAAGGTTAGCTGGCTGAAGTGTGTTTGATCGGAGCTAAACTTGTCAGGACAGTGGATCTCCAAGAGCAGGGTTGTGTACCCATGATGTTTTTTAGTGTTTGAAAGTATTAGAGCCAGGTGAATTTGGCTAGGTGTACAATCATGCATTGTTGGAAAAATCTTTCTTGCAGAAATGTCATTTATATCAGCAGGTTTGAACTTTGAGAGCGGTTTGGCTTTCAGGATGTATCGCAGCGTTGATAGCCTGAAATAAATCCTGCATGTCACCTTGCATCAATCTGTAATGAGTCATCTCTCTTTGCCTGTGACTGGAGATTTTAAAGTGAACGGGGAGGCGTCCAAAGCTGCCCTGGCCAATGAGGATTGTCCTCACATCGACCAGGCGGTGTCACCCGAGGAAGTCTTTAGCCCTGTGGACCGCGAGAGACCCTGCTTCCTGCTCACCTCCGGAGGACAACGAGCCAATCACACGGGGGGGAGAGTCAGGAAGGGTACGTAACCAGCCAATCACTGCTAGCCTTTAGAGCACTGGCAGTGCTGTGTCTGAAAGTGGAGCAGCTGTCAATCAAAGATGCTCTTTCGGTGCAAAACGACCGACTGTCACTCAGCCTTCTTTCTTGCAGTCTGATAGCTCCTCAGGTCTGCTGTTACTCTAAGGTTGACAGGAAAAGCTGCGATAGAAATGACATATCCAAGTAAGCCGTCAATGGGCCTCTTTTCATTTATAGCTCATTCTGAACAAGATCTCTGAGAAGAACATTCAGTGCCAGTTTTTCCTAATGTATTCATGCGAATGCGGTACGTTTTACAGTACGTATTTCAGGCAGATTCAGTGGACCATAATGTAAGGGTCCAATTTTAAATGAAAAAGTAAATGAATGTTTATGAAAAAAAACAATGGTTTTATAAAGTAAATGAAATAAGCTTCAGTATAATGCCTAGCAGTGTGCTTGTTTGCATGCAGATTCACAATGGCGGGAGGTCCTGGTGATGGTGAATCTCACAAGAGATGCAGCATGGGATATGGGGCATGTGGTCACATT